TTTTATATAGAACATTATTATTTTTTAAAAAGTTTTTTTTTTTGTTAATATAATTTAAAAATTTAAAAATATATATACTAAAATCACTTTTATATTCGTGCTAATAGTAATATTGATGAGAAATCATATAAAGTTGATATACTGTATATTAATATATAGAAACTCATTTTATTGTTTAGGTTGATATTAATAAGAATGATACGTATGTATACTAAAGTGTTTTTTTTTTTTTAAAAAAAAAAAAAAGCATATAAGTTACAATATTTTATAAAATTCAATTTTCCGCAAAAAAATTTTTTTGCCAATTTCGTCCCTTTTATCAGCACCAAGCCCATATATTAATTGACTAAATATAAGAATAATCTTATTTATTTTATTTAGAAGCTGAATTAACGAAATAAAGCTATTTCTTTTTCTTCTTGAAATCTGGTATGAACTAATTTTACAACTGCTGATGGATAATGTGTTTCAGGGTCATCAATATTTTCGTGTGCATCTGCCTCAGACTTAGTCATTACCACACAATTCTGTAGTGTTAAGGGAACATTGTTTTTCCATCTAACAAGTGCTGGTTTCTCCCATGATCCGGACACTACGCTTTTGCTACGAAATATCTCATCATAGACATATCCAACATCGTGAACGTCTAGGGGTATTGATCTAAATAAAGATTAGGAATTGAAATTAACTATATAATTAATATAATAAATATGTACAGTCAGACCTTTCTAAATGCAACTCGTAGAGACAAAACTTTTGTTACTGTGCATTTAGAGAACGATAAGAAAAACTGTATCTATGGGGTCAAAATATATTTTTCCAGAGTTTGAGGTTGCATTTAAAAGAGGCGCTCATTTAGGAGTCTGACCGTAATAGAAATTCATCTGTTATTTTCTTTACTCACGTTACACCATATTTCCTTCTTTCTCTATTCAGTAAATCGCGATGCATTCGACTATATAATGGTTCGCGATTTTTATTAGCCAACGGTTCTACGTGATACCCAGAAACACTAGTGATAATATAAGTTGCAATTGCCATTCCGAAAATAGCGGGAATTGTGCCTAACAAAACACATGTTTTAGTTTAAGTTAAAAGAATTAAAGCATAAAATACATGCGAACCTAACACTGGCAAAATTCTCGACCGAAAATCAGGTAATGTGGCATATTCTCCTGCACTTTGGACACGACTTTCATCTATGAAAATAATAATATATCGTTCAAGAACAGGTGAAATAAAAAGAGACACGTCTTTAAAAAAATAAATCCCTGGATTACTAACCTAATGGCAGCAATTTTATATTAGGTTTTTCGGTAGAGTATGCTACCATGATCCCTGATTCGACACCCAATTTTTTAAGACGGCGTCGAACAGCTCTTGCAAGTGGATCCTCTATTATTTGATATGTTTAGTTTTAGGTATAGTACAATTTAAAAAAGAAATCAGAGAAATAATAATGGTATACCAATCGTCAGACTTATATCGCTCATTTGGACACGTGACGGATCTGCTTTAGCACCAGCTCCCATCGAACTCAAAATCTATACATAATTTCTATAGGTTATTAAAGCAATAAAATTTTGATGATACAAAAAAAAAAAAAAAACGCTTACTGGTAATTTATTGTCATGGCAATACTTGAGAAGATCAATTTTTGTATCGATATTGTCAATTGCATCAACAATGAAATCCGGATTTCCTGTAACAACTCTATTTAAACATGAAATCTTCTAATAGAAATAACTATTGAGATTTTTCTTACCTGATAAGAGGTGAGGCGCACTTTCTTTAGTGAATAGTTCAATAATTGGCTCAACTTTTACCCAAGGAGCAAATTCCCTAAAATTTTTTTGTAATGCAACAACTTTTGGAATACCAACGTCTGAGTGTGTTGCAACAGCATGCCGATTTAAGCTACTCAATGTTACTTGGTCAAAGTCTATAATTCTAACATGCTCAACTCCAGAACGAACCAGCATTAGTGCAGCCCAAGAACCAACGCCACCAGCTCCAACAATTATGATGAAAGACTTTCGTAATTTTGCAACTCCTTTTTCGCCAAGGAAGGCTATATTTCTAGCCAATTGTTCTTTTATAAGTGTTTCATCAAATTGACTCTGTTCGGTGACAGCACTTAATTGCTCGACACTACGTTTTTTTGGCTGAAGTACCTTTTGTGAAGGTGGTAATGAAGAAAGTTCCCTTTTAAGAGCTCGAGTACGCGCTTGTCTTTGAAATGATTGATAGGAAAATATCGCGATTGCTGTAGCTACTGTCGCGCTAAAGGCTGTGAAAGCAAATTGAACTTTATTGTTTGACATAAAAGAAGTAAAATAACTCACGAACGAATTCATGATTAATCGTCGCGTCTTTTTAGTGAATTTGAATATTTGAAATATCAGAATTAGACTTTTACAGATAGCAAAAAAAAAAGTTGCCGCTTCAAAATTAATTTGAAGGGAAGCAATTTTTTGTGTTTTATGATAGAGGCTCGATGTCACGTTATAACCAAAATTTCGATACTACGATATTACACGTGATTTTAAACTCTTTTATCCATCTTACTGCGAGAAATGTTGAAAAAATGAATCCTGCGACTTCTACGAATACTTTAAAAGATGGACTTCCGATCGGGAGTGAAGTGATATCCCGATCCGCTCTCGAACATGATATTCGATTGCTCATAGTTGGCTACCAGAAAGTTTGTACTTTATTTTTTTAATTATAAACTCGAGTGTCAATTAATACTAAAAGTTAACGCGAAATCAATTTAGAAACAAAGTTATGATTTTACAACTTTCGCAAGCGTTTGGAGGGATTATAAATTTTCAATGATGCACTTTGCATGCACAGAAAAAATTGGGCGACCAACTTTTATGCAAGCCTTATATCAAATCATATTATGTAGTTTATTATTATTATTATTATTGTTATTGAAGGTCGTCTTTTTCATTAATTTGATTCTCTTTATTAGCATATTTTTTCAGTACACACTTATTAGAAGTAAAGTTGGGTGTTTTATATGGTTTATATCTACTATTCTTTACGCAGCCTGACACGTTCGACAAAGTTAGAATTCGCCTATCGTTGAGTAAGGCTCTTTGTTTTTTTTTTTTATATGAGTGTCGCTAAAAGAAAACCCGAAAATTTAAATATAAGTCGTATTTAAATTTTCGGGTTTTCTTTTAGCGACACTCATATATATTTTATTTTATTATCTTACCCTTTGCAAACGTGTAAACTAATAGTATTACATTTCAGAAATGTGGAAATCGTTATTTGAACTCTATCAATATTGCCAGAAACATAATATATATGATGCAGAGTATATATACGAAAAGATGAGAGCAGATGATACGTTTGAGTTTGTCGCTGTTATTGATCCTTGTGGAGAATATGGAAATATTACACAGGGAAAAGGATCAAAGAGGTTTATATCTATGCATATTGTGTTTACCTATTACTATACATACATTATAATGAATATATTATACCTATTTTTTAGAATCATTCCAAATTATATAGCAGAAATTAAAGACGAATTAAGCACAGGATCTTTAGTAAGTTATTTATATAAGATATTTCAAAGTCATATTAGCAAATTGACATGAATTTTTTATTTATTTTTATTTTTTTTTTATTTTTTATTTTATTTTTTTATTTATTTATTTTTTTTATTTATTTAACTTTGATAAGGGTGAATTTGAATGTCCAGAATCTTTGAGCTGTCTTGATCAAATAGTCAATCAATATCATTTAAAGAAACGAAAGATCTCCGAAACAGAGGAGGCAAGGGCTGCGTCACGCAAGATTACTCGTAACAAGATGAATTCAAGAACAGAAGATCAGTTGGTAGATATTTGGTCAATTGTCGCACCTTTAAATGCATCTGACGAAAAAATTGTCGATAATTTGAGAGGCAAGCTTGAACAAATCAAGAAAGAACGACTTGAATATTTGTCAAAGGCCGACGAAGCCATTTATATGAATTATAATGAAGATGACAATGATGATGAAAAAGTTGTATCAAATGTGTCCGAAAAGGTATTAAATTATTCTTTTTTAAATGCATAATTTTTTGCCCTATTACTAATCCATCCAATATATAATTTACAGGATACTGCGTTCGATGTTCGGAATAGGATAAGAACACAAAATTATCAGAACAATAATAGACAATTTGTGCCTTTCGCCTTGCGTGCCACTCTAAAGGCAATGGAAAAAGATACGTTAGCACGGTCGTTTAGTATGAATGCCCCACCACCACCGTCTAAAGCGTTATCGTCTTTAGGAAGAGATATCCGATAATATCGTCTTATATTTTACCAAATATGGACAGTGTTGATCGCACCTTTTATAGTATGCAAATGGCGATCAGATGTTTCTAGACATTTCT